AAGTCCGGATTCAGAACCTCTCCGAGGAAACGTATTATATTTGGCCTTTCAATCTAGTATTCTTGTGAATAACATTCTCTTCGCGAACTGTAGTGCAACGCAGCAAACAACAAAATAAAACAAAATGTGATGCCCGAGTAAACATGGGTGGCGCGATAAGCGAAAAGCGCGATAGCTAAGGCGTTCTCAGCGGGCTTTCCCACTTCAGATTTCTTTTCAACGCTAATATCATTTTATTTTAGGCGCGAAAATCAATACCCATTTAATACACATGGGTTGAATTGGCTTAGGCTCACATTCACAATTAGCGTATGTGGGCAAGAACAAGAGGAAAGCGCTACCATTGATGAACTCAGTTGGCTACTTGTGTCCTGTGCCTTGTCGTAAACGCAGACTTATACTGCCTTCCAAAAAACGAGAAGAGCGTCGGGTGCAGACCATACACCACAAGTGACGACGGCCTCCACAAAATGTAAATGTTTTCTGCCAATGAAATGATTAGCCTGTTGCAGTTGTATTCTATCAGTTGTCACTAATTACAACTATCATTTACCAAAATCAGCTATCACTATGAACCACTACTAACCAGATTTACTTGGAGGCCGTCGTCACTTGTGGTGTATGGTCTGCACCCGACGCTCTTCTCGTTTTTGAAAGGAGGGTAGCATCACAGATGTGGCATCAGATAATCAAAATCAATAGCATCGAAAACCACACGTGATATCGATTTTTTGACCCATTGTCACGTATACAACTACCGTCCGAGGGTAGTGGTCAACCAGAAACCCTGGTGTTTTTGGTTTTCTCTGGGCACTCTCGCACATACACACTATTACAGCATCTCTTCTTCTTTCCTCCTTCGAAAGCTAGAGTCCAGATAGAAAAGCCCAAAGTATGTGCTTTTCTGTCTGAACTCTCACGCGTTGGTTGACCACTGCCCCGTAACCGTACAATTACAACTCTGCCGACGTTTATGTTGCTGAGTCTGCACTTACGACTCACCTGAATTCGGGAAACAAAGGGTATTTGTCTTCGAAAAAACGTCTGAAAACCGAAGTTTAACTACTTACCATGAAATTAAACTCTGCGATGGGTGTCTTTCACTTCTGCGAATGATATGTGTAAGCTTTCGAGTCTATCCAATGTAATCAATCCTTTTTAGGCTCCAAACGTACCAGTGAACCAGCCGATTCCCACAAATGTAAGTTTGTTTACCGCATTTGGCTTCATTTTCCGCTTCCAATATGTTGAATTTATAGGCTGTCGATGGTGAAGACGTCGTTGTGAGGAGGAAATCGCACAGGAAGGTGTTGAACTCCCTGACACTACCGAAGAAAGCGATGAGGAGCCGGTAACAAAGTGCTTTTCATTGCTTAAAAGGAAGCAATCAAAGTTCAATTTTATAGCGTTGATCCCCCTGGAGCCGCGCTTCAACCGCTTCAACCGCCCTTCAACACCTTCAAGACACCACCACCACCGCAACGCTCCACAGTTTCCAGCCATTCCAACCACCTCTTCAGCAATTTGTGGTAAGCATTCTTTCTGTGGAGCTTAACATGCTTGTTGGCAAACACTATTTATTTATAGGCTGAACCCATCTATTTCCCACCTGCAGCTCCAGCTCCCATTGCAGGAGGTGGTGTTGCTGTTGGCGGCGGTGGTGGTGGCGGTTATTACTGCTTCACTGGAGACACCAAGGTAGGGATTATTTAACTTGAGTAATTTGAAGCGTAAAAAGTAATTTGGGTAAAATATGATTGAATGTCCTGGGCAAAAGAACGGGGCTTTCTGAATGTCCCAACCCTATCTCCAGGACTTTAGCAATTCATGGGTTTTTGGCTCGCTATGACTCCTGCCTTGCATCTTCTTTGTTGCTGATTTTTTTCCGTTTTTCACTAATTTTCGGGACAATGCCTGCCGCAACTTCAACCTTAGATCAGCGTTGTTACTTTTCACTATAAAAGGCGTATCTTGCGGTCTCAGGACTTCTGTAAACTGTGGGGCTAGGAAATTCGGAGTTTTGTAGTGCTGTCTGGGAGCTCTTACGTATGCACACTATTACAGCATATCTGCTTTTTTCATTCCTTGTGAAAGGCTTAGTCTTTAAGCTACTCAGAGCGCCCATCTACACTCTCCCTCATTGATTGACAGAAGACTTGTAACCGTATTCCGCAACTAGTTTGTGTAATATGTAGCGGATTCTGTTAATCAGGTAAGTCCGCAACTGCGGAGAAAGTGCCACCCTCGCGTCTAGAATGCGTTGGCAGTGGCAGTCAGGGCTGATCAATTTTTTGGTGAGCGCGTAGCCGTACGCTCACCATGCGAATGCGTTGATGTCTGCGTCTCACACATCCGCCAAACTCTCTCGTCCGTGTAATCTTTGGCCTCCGACTACCATCAGTGCCCTACCGCCGGGCAAATGATTTCTTGTACGTGAAACTCAATTGGGTTCCTTGTACCCAAGCACGCGTCTAAAATCATTAAATTGCACATGGTTCCGGGTTTAGAGGACAGTCGAAGGCACATTCAGGGGACAGTTAAAGACAGGATAGCATATGGATGTGAGAAGCGTTTCGAAAATTTCTGGTTTCAAAAAATCAACAATTTGAAGTGGTTCATTCAGGTTCGCGTCATCACTGGTGAAGAAAAACGACTCGATGAGCTGAAGGTGAACGATTGGGTTCAAACATTGAAGGGTGCTGAGGTGAGGCCTTGAGGATTCTTGAAATCAAGTATATTCATGAAAGAAATCTCATCTCTCGAAAATATGTCGATTTTCAGATAAAATACGCACCAGTGTCCTTCTGGCTTCACAGAGTACCATCGCAAAAAGCAGAGTTTGTAAGGTACGTCTTTTGAGTTGAATCTGGTTGAGACGTAGATTACATGCATATTGATTGTTGGCCGCTTGCCCTCGATAGCCAGGTGTCGGCAGGGTCAACCGTTCGTTGTTCCGATTCCATAGATTTTACGACAGCCCTCGAGAGGGGTATCGATACGACCCTCGTCACCACCATCTGCTTTGGGAAAGTCTCCCAATACGATCCCCCTTCTCCATCCCGACCACAGCCCTCACCAATGGCTGTTTTTACAGCATTTGATTCTGATATTAGTTGACACAGCCCAACCCCGCCCCCACCTTTTCCCTCCAAAAACGCCGTCGAGCGGCAGGTGCGGGGAGGCAAGGTAAATATGCCCTAATGAAACGACTAATCTTCTGATTTCAACCACTTGCTTTCTTTCTTGAATTTCGGACCAAATTATCAGAAAATCCGCCAGAGCACCCCTCTCTCCGCCACCGCAGTCCATCCCACTTCCAAAAGAACGACCTCGTTGTTTGAACCATTTTACCTCCTTTAACCTAACATTCCACGGATCTCTTTCACTGAGGGTCCTCTCTCACTGAAAGATCTCGAGCCGGTTGGTGGCGAGGCTACGTGGCGCGACCCCAGGTGGCGGATAGGGGGTAAATCGCGGACCAAAAGCCACCATGTACTTGCCCTGAGACGCAGGTGGATTCAGGGGATGGACTCCCTGTTTCTGTAGTGCTGTGTTGATTCATACCAGCTGTCTCCACTCAGGCGCATCCATGCATGCTTGCGTGTGTGGTGCGCTCTGTGTGTGTGCGGTTGGTATCCTGCATGTCGGCACAGCCAAAAGCTTGCATTCAAGTGACTGGGAAGTACATGGGAGGCGATTCGGGGCCGCCTCCAAAAATAAGCCCCTTGTTCCGCTCCAGGATAGCGTGGCTAACTACCTGGAGGTCTATCCTAGCCCGCACGACAGAGCCTGGCAAGCTACTCGTGTGCCTTCAATATGCCGAAAACAGCAATATGGATGGGCCTCATTCCCCTGAACCTGAGGGAGCCCCCAATACGGCAGCGTTGGGTAGGACCGCTCGGGAGAGGCTGCTAGAATCTCAGGGCCCGGATAGGCTGCCTAAACGAAGAAGGACTAAGATGGCGATCTGTACTTTCAACGCACGAACGCTTGCATCCGAAGCTCACATCGAAGATCTGATGATGCAGGCCAGGAAGATCAAGTACGACGTCATCGGACTGACCGAGACGAGAAGGCACCGCCCGCTACACGCCGTTTTCGATACTGGAGAAGAACTGTTCCTTGGAACATGCGACAGCAGAGGCGTTGGCGGTGTGGGTGTCCTCGTCAACACGCACTTGGCCATAAACATCGATTCGTACGAAAGCCTTACGACCCGAATCGGACGTTTGAGATTGAGAAGATGTGGTTCAACTCCTGCTTTGACAATCTTCGTCGCCTACGCACCAACATCCAGCTACGACGAGGAGAACACGAAGCATTCTATATGGAATTGGAGAAGTTCTACAGGGAAGATCATACCTTCTTCAAGGTCATCGTCGGCGACTTCAACGCTAAGATTGGCCCAAGAAGAACGGCTGAAGAACTTCACATCGGTACTCACGGAATGGAATGGAATGATGAGCAGGGTGCCGGAGATGTTCGAGCAGCTTTATCATGTCGACCAAACACCAATCCATTTGGTAAATCACAGGTCAAGCCTCACTTCGGTTGGGACTTGGGAGTCACCTGATGGACAGTTCCATAACGAGATAGACCACGTCATCTTCAATCGAAGGTTTTGCCTGACCGACGTCGCTGTTGTTCCGAAGTTCTACACGGGATCAGACCATCGTCTCCTCCGCGCAAAGTTCCACTTTTCGATGCGTGTTGAGAGAGCCTCGAAGTTCAGGAAGCGAAGCCCCAGGACAGTCATCAACTGGGATCACTTCGCTTCCCTCGTCAGCTTATGGGAGGATTCCGTCATCGAAAACATCGACGAGGAGTACTATCGGCTCGTTGAACATCTTCACGATTGTGGCAAGAAGGCAGAGAGTTTGAAAGTCACCAAGGGACGTCTGTCTCCGGAAACTCTCGAACTGATACGCCAGCGTGGAGCCGCACGAGCTGCAGGCAATCACCGACTCACGTCCGAGCTTGCGAAGCTATGCAGAGAGGCGATAAAGGAAGATCTCAAGGAGCGAAGAGCAGCAGTATTAGCTGAAGCAGCAGAGGCTGGGAGGAGCATCCGCAATGCCCGCCGAAGCTTTGCCAGCTACAAGACCAAGATGACCTGCCTCCGACGTCCGGATGGAACAGTCACTGCATCCCGAAGGGCAATGGAGAAAGTCATCCACGACTTCTACTCGGATCTCTTCGATAGCCATGTCCATCTGCCCACTTATCAACTGCAACAGGATGGATACGTCGTCCCCTCAGTTCTCTCTTCCGAAGTCCGACACGCCATCAAGTCGGTGAAGAATCGTACAGCACCCGGTCTCGACAGGGTCAAACCGGAACATCTGAAGAATGCGCCGCCAGTCATCATCAAAACTCTGGCTCGACTCTTCACGCGCTACCTGTCGGAATGCAAGGTACCCACTCCGTGGAAAACCAGCAGGACCGTGTTGCTGTACAAGAAGGGAGACCTGGACGACATTGGCAACTATCGCCCAATCTGCCTGCTGTCTGTATAATCTACAAGCTATTCACTCGAGTCATCCTTAACAGGATCGGCAGAATACTAGATGAAGGACAGCCATGCGAGCAAGCAGGGTTTCGAAGAGGGTTCAGCACGATCGACCATATCCACACGGTTACAAGACTCATTGAAGTTTCACGAGAGTACAAGATGCCGCTTTGTCTCACGTTCATCGACTTGAAGAAGGCCTTCGACTCTGTGGAGACAGAAGCGGTCATCGAAGCCTTGGGCAAACCAGGGCGTCCCTACTCAGTACATCAAGATTCTTCGTGAGCTCTACAGCAACTTTACGACCAGATCTCACCATTCTACAAGGAGGTCATCATCGACGTCAAGAGAGGGGTTCGACAGGGCGACACCATCTCGCCCAAACTCTTCAGCGCCGCTCTCGAGAACGTCATGCGTCAACTGGAATGGGAAGACATGGGAGTGAAGGTCGACGGCCGGCAACTACACCACCTTCGTTTTGCTGACGACATCGTTCTTATAACGCCGAACATCGAGCAAGCGGAGCGAATGCTGGCTGATTTCGACTGCGCCTGTGGTAAGGTTGGTCTGCAGCTGAACCTAACGAAGACGATGTTTATGAGAAACGGATTGGTTCCTGATGCCCCATTCACGCTCAACGGAACGAACATCACCGAATGCTCCAGCTACGTGTACCTAGGTCGGGAAATCAATATGATGAACGATCTAGCTCCAGAGCTGAGCAGGAGGAAACGAGCGGCTTGGGGAGCGTATAAGAACATCGAGGGAGTAGTGAAGAAGACGAAGAACATCCGGCTCCGTGCCCACCTCTTCGATTCCGCTGTCCTTCCTGCCCTAACCTACGCCTCAGAGACTTGGACTCTGCGCAGGCAGGACGAGCATGCGGTCAGCGTTATCCAACGCGCTGTCGAGAGGACGATGCTAGGAGTAACCCTATACGCAAGTGCAGAGGGGAATCCGGAGTGCCGAACTACGCCAACGATCGAAGATCAGGGACGCTGCCGTTTTCGCCAAGGAATCGAAGATAAGGTGGGCCGGACACGTCATGCGATTTTGCGATGACCGTTGGACCAGAGCGGTTACCGACTGGATCCCTCGGGACGTCAAACGAACCTGGACGACCGCCGGCCCGATGGTCAGACTTCTTCACGAAAGCTCTGAACGAAAGGAATGAAGGACATCGTGTCCCTCGAGCGAGGAGGGTCCACTGGACAACTCTTGCACGCGACAGGGACGAATGGAGACGTTGCTGGCGCCCGCTCGAGCAATTCGATGATCAACGGGACGACAGGTGATACAGGTGATATTTCTTAGCAAAAAATAATACGAAGTTATACGAGAATGTGCGTAAGCACGGGGGCCGCACACGCCGCAACGAATTCACTGTAGTCAAGCTCGAGTCAGCAGTGAGGCGTCGAAATAATGAGTTGAGTGCAGTGGGTGAGCAGCGCACCTCACCCCCCATTCGGTTCGTTCTTTTTTGCTTCTGCTTGCATTTCGCGCGAATCGCGCGACCATCGCAAACTCTGGAACCTGCCTCACTTGCAAAAACTGTTACAGTATGGTGTAAAAACCGTACTTTGGGACTTAATTCTGCGCATTTGGTTCCAAGAACGAGAAACAGTGCATACTACATGAGAATATAGGTAATCGACCAGGATCATTCATCAAAGGTGGGCATGCATTCCTCTCTGTTCGCAACTAAAGGCTCTCTAGTTGGCCTAGGCAAGTGCCCAAGAATTAGGATGCACTTTTCATTTAGAATGGGAAGAGGTTATTGCAATTGCCAGGAATAGGATTCTGGTGCATGCTTAAGGTAGGATTTACGTGCTGTTGTCTCCTCGTGATTGACTGGTCAGTAAATCAATCGTTAGGTGTTTTGCGTTGGCTATGAACACATCGTGGCGCGCTCAACTGGTGATCACACAGTCCATCACTCTTTGTGTATGTAGTTTTACCTGAACTTTTTAGACTAGAGCTATCCGATGGAACTGAACTAAAACTCACTGCGAAGCACTTCATTTACAAAACCGAATGCGAAGTGGAGGGAGGAAAACAGGTAATTTGACTTCGCATAGTCATGCATCTCTTTTTATCTTATTCGAGTATCTATGTAATTTGTATGTAACTGCAGTCAACCGATTTTTAAAAAATAAATAATGTTGAACTCTGAAAGTAAGTTTGAAAAGCCAGGGAAGTCAAAAATGACTCTTCCAATAGGGGCGAGAGGGGGCAGTGGGTGCAACACTCCGTGCCGCCTCAACTGACCCAATTTCAGCCCGGAATCAAATAACGCTGTGGGTAGATAGGTTCTCCTCAGCTGTGTAACAGAAAACCACCGTACTTATTTAACACGCGAATTCTACCTGGTATTAGGCGCGACTTTGCGCTGTTACTTTTACGACTTGTCATTTTTTGGTAATGCTGGGTGCAGAGAAGCCTCGAGCATGCCAATTTTTAACCCATTCGTGACAATGGCAGCCACCGGTGGCTGACAAAGATCTCACTCGGGACAATGGTATCCACCGGTGGCTGCCGTGTTTCAAATGGAATTTGGAAAGTTTTCTTTCCTGAAAAGAATCTTCATACCCTCATCTACGCCAGCCCTGGGCAGGGAAATCTCCATCCACTCAAATTTTATTGAAGAAAAATCTCCTGACTCTCCTGCTATTGCGCAATCCCGCGCGGTCGCGAATGGGTTAAATACGGTAGGCGCATCATATGCGCAACGCTGCCGCTTCAGGCTCTACGAGTTTGTGGCTTCGCTGGCGAATCCACTGATTCGCAAAGTCTGACACCAGCCTGACATTACAATATGCTAGACGAATCAACAAGGCTAAGCCTTGGATTGGAAGGGTCCGAAGTGCGCGAGCAGTTCTCATTCCCCCAGGAATTTCTCCTTCTCTCGACCGAGTTTTAGGGGCCGAATGTGAAGAGAACGCGAGAATTCCCGAAAAAAAAATTAAGAGAAGCCTAATCTGCAAAAGGTTGAAGGAGTAAGCGTCATGTAACAGTTGCTGCTACACTGCGCGTACCGTATCAAAAGAGCAGCACACCCCATTCTAATTTTGCACCGTTGCACAGGTGTTGCCCTGCACCAGACTTCAGTAAATTGATGGGGTCGTGTGACTTGAAAGAAATTATTATAATCCATTTTTGTTTCGCTTGCATATTTTTATCACTACAATTTACCATTCTTCGAAATAATAAATATTCGAAGTCTTTACGTCAATTCGTTGCCCCATATATGCATGAGTCTGTTCAGGTTTCTACCGATGAACTATCACGTGTGGCTGTGCTTGCTGAAAAAGTCGCCGAAGGAGATTGCTTGTATCAAGTTGTGAAGGTGGGCTTTCGAGATTATCTTATGAGGCTGCCTCTGACCGTTAGCGGCCACAGATGGCCAGCAAGGGAATGGTTATATGGCCATTTACTGACTGTATTATT